TGATGAATGTACAGCACAATGTTTGACTTCTGTCCACGTTCCGGTTGTCCATCAATCAGCATTGGAGAGCTGTCGGCTATTACCTGCGCTGCTTGAAATCTGCTTGAATGCAGATTCTTTGTGTCTTGATAATATGAAAGACGTAGATAGTAGTGATGAGCCGAACAGGCCCGAATTCGGTTTGAATTCGAACTTTAGAACATCCAAATAGTTTGAACTCATTGCAAGTCTATGGGAGTAGATCTTTCAAAAACAATAGTCCTATTTAAGAGGGCTTTATATGCAATTTATTGGCCATAAAAGGTGTATGGGGATCTGGGTACTGTCCCGGGGGGACAGGAATCAATGAAAAAAAACGTTTTAAAAATACAGTTTTTAAAGGAGCAGTGATTTTAACATTGCTTAAAGGGTAACCATAAAAATGACAAAGTCCTTTAAATATCATGCCTGGGGGGTCCCCTTAACCTGCCTGTAAAGTGGCGGATCTGTACAATGTATAGAACCTGCTGCAGCAAAACTGACATTTCTAAAGAAAAAAAAAAAAATATATTTTTTTTTTTAAAGCATGCAGTTCCCCCTCCCAAACAATACCTGACCCTTTAGGTCTGGTAGGAAAGTTAGGAGGGACCCCATTGAAAAAAAAAGTGTGGGGTTCCCCCGCAAAGTCATACCGGACCCTTAAGGTCTGATAGGAATATTGACGAGGGACCCCATGTAAAAAAAAAAAAGTGTGTGTGTACCAGACACTTGATCCGAGCACAGGCCTGACAGGGCCGGAAGGGGGGTAATGCACGAGCGCCCCCCCTCTCCTATACCAGGCCACATGCCCTCGGCACTGGGAGGGTGCATTTCCAGGGTCGCCCCTGGAAAAGCACCTTGTCCCCGTGTCGATGGGGACACGGGCCTCATCCCCACAAGCCCTGGGGCATGGGTTGTGGGGGTCTGTGGGCATGGGGCCCTTTCACATCAGGGTACCCCTGCAATAAAGGGGTACCCAGATGTGCCCCCCCCTTCTGAATGAGTGGGTTTTTTTTTTAACTCATTCACTAAAGGGTTTTAAAAAAATTGGAATAAAAAAAACAGACTTTTGGAAAAAATCCTTTAATTGAAAAAAAAACACAACAAAGGATTTTGACAAGGCCTTTATTGTAAAAAAACCCCCCAAAAAATAGATCCACCGACGTAATCCAGGGTCAATCGCGACGTCCAGTGTTGTCCACGACGACGACTCGACTAAATAAAAAATAAAACAATTAAAAATAATTAGAAATAAAAAGAAAAAAAAAACCTGTCAACTGCCATCCCGTCCGCTCGCGACGTACTCCCGCCGCATAATGCCATTTTGACAGATTCCGGCAAAACATAAACAATTGGGCGGAGTTAGCAGTGACAGTCAGCTCCGCCCAACTGTGTACAGTTTTATGTCATCTGACAGGTGAGCCATGATTGGGCAAAGTCATCATTACTTTGCCCAATCATGGCTCTTACAGAGTACTAAGCCCTGATTTGGCAAAGCCTTTAGCCAATTAGGGCTTTACAAGGCGCATTGCCATGTGGAATGTTGAGTGGTCGAACAGACCGCCGAACACCCTTAAGGTGGCCATACACCTTACAACCATTGCACAACTTTTGTAGTCCAGACATCTCACCCTTGTTCAATTTTCTGACAACTAGCCCATCATGCACAGACCAATGTAGTTCACAAGTAACGCTCGTCAGCACCACCATATGCCTGTTTTTCATCGATGGAAAGGACAGATTTTCCTTTGAACATGTGCAGTTTGAATCTGAGATTTTTGTTGTACAACAATGCCACTAACCCGTCAGTTTTCATCCAATTAGACAAAAGTTTTCTAGCCTGCTTAAAAGACAAAAATCAGCCAGTTGTACAGTAATTGAGGTTGTATAGTAATTGAGGTTGTACACTGCACATCAACTGGCAGATTTTCTGACAAACGCAATCGCAGACAAAAATCTCCAGATAATTGTAAGGTGTATGGGCACCTTTATAGTGTGTGTGTTCGGCGAACACACAAACTAGCAATGTTCGAGCCCATCCCTAGTAGATAGCATGAGGGGGACTGGGATATACCATGGGGTGTACTTATAGAACATTTGCAGATCTGTTTGCCCTGTGAACATCTTGGCTTTAGATTCGCAGTGCATTATGGCCACTAGATGGAGCCGAGGAGCATTGGCATTTCTTATGCTTCTCAGCTCCATCTAGTGGCCATAATATGGTGCAAAGCTAAAGCTAAGACGTTCGCAGAGCTGTCCTATGAATACACTCTCATGGGTTGCTGGGTGTTGCTGGTAATAGTTTTCCAATGCTCGGACAGAAACAAGGCTGTTGAACACATAAATAAATACACATACATGAATGAATCAGAAAATGGGCATTTCTTCATTTTGTGCATTTGTGCCTGCAAAGCATTGCAACTGTGATCATTGGATTGCCTAGGCCCAGTGCAATGGCCAGGCTCCAGCAGACTATTACCACAGGTCTGTATGGAGGTACTCACCTTCTGTTATGGGGCTGAAGGAAGTAATCAATGGACTACAACAGGGGTAGGCAACCTCTGCCCTCCAGCTGTGACAACACTACAAATCCTATCATGCCTCTGCCTATCGGAGTCATGCCCCTGGCTGTCAGAATCTCACAATGCCTCATGGGACTTGTAGTTCCACAACAGCTGAAGTGCCATGGTTGCCTACTCCTGGACTACAAGTTGAAATCTACGGTGCGGTGGTAGATGGACCTTGTACTCCTATATATCACAGACCCTATGAATAGATCTCTGAATGAATGACGCGGCTGTGCAGGGTGCGTCAAATCGACAATCGTTTTTACCCATAGTGATGAAAAAGGATCGAAGGCGCGGGATGTCAAATTTTTCTGGAATGAACGAAGTCCTAACAGTGAATGAGGTTTTCATTCGGGGAAACTCCATTTATTCCAAAATTGAATGTTAAAAATGACAAACATTCGTCAAGTCTCTGATTACGTTATCCAATGAGATTTTTTGTATGAACATTCATTATATCATGTTATTAAATAAAGTCATCCATGTTCTAGTCATGTGATAGAGCTTGTGATCGTGCCCTTGTCCTGTCCCTTGTCCTGTCCCTGCTCACTGACACTGCCAGCTATCAGATTCCTATTGTCAGATGACACCGGCTGTCCCCAGACAGCTTTGTAGACACAATGTAGGTATTTCGAGTTTATATTTCATTCATATGTCACAGTTTTCTTTGTGCAAAGCTCCCTCCATATCAAATGTCAAGTCTGCGTCACAGCCAATGGTGTATGTTGTATGTTTTGGATTGTATCACATGAGCTGAATACTATATGCATGTGTAGTCACATAAAGAGCTTCACATCATTTATATATATATAGATAGATAGATAGATACAATTTTATATAT